TCAGCTGCTGCCTTTGCTTCAGCTCAGCCTCAGTCTGCTGCAGGCGCCGGCTCGGCTCAGGCCTGCTGCCTCAGCATCAGCCTGCCTCAGCCTCAGCCTCAGCCTCAGCCTGCCTCAGCCTCGCCTCAGCCTGCTTCAGCCTCAGCCTCAATCTGCCTTCAGCCTCGGCCTCAGCCTCAGCCTGCCTCAGCCTCAGCCTGCATCAGCCTCAGCCTCAGCCTCAGCCTGCCTCAGCATCAGCCTGCTTCAGCCTCAGCCTCAGCCTGCCTCAGCCTCAGCCTCAGTCTGCTTCAGCCTCAGCCTCAGTCTGCTTTCAGCCTCGGCCTCAGCCTCAGCCTGCCGCAGCCTCAGCCTGCATCAGCCTCAGCCTCAGCCTCAGCCTGCCTCAGCATCAGCCTGCCTCAGCCTCAGCCTCAGCCTGCCTCAGCCTCAGCCTCAGCCTGCTTCAGCCTCAGCCTCAGTCTGCCTTCTGCCTCGGCCTCAGCCTCAGCCTGCCTCAGCCTCAGCCTGCATCAGCCTCAGCCTCAGCCTCAGCCTGCCTCAGCCTCAGCCTGCCTCAGCCTCAGCCTCAGCCTGCCTCAGCCTCAGCCTGCCTCAGCGTCAGCCTCAGCCTGCTTCAGCCTCAGATCAGTCTGCCTTCAGCCTCGGCCTCAGCCTCAGCCTGCCTCAGCCTCAGCCTGCATCAGCCTCAGCCTCAGCCTCAGCCTGCATCAGCCTCAGCCTGCCTCAGCCTCAGCCTGAGCCTGCCTCAGCCTCAGCCTCAGCCTGCTTCAGCCTCAGCCTCAGCCTGCCTTCAGCCTCGGCCTCCGCCTCAGCCTGCCTCAGCCTCAGCCTGCATCAGCCTCAGCCTCAGCCTCAGCCTCAGCCTCAGCCTCAGCCTCAGCCTCAGCCTGCCTCGGCATCAGCCTGCCTCAGCCTCAGCCTCAGCCTGCCTCAGCCTCAGCCTCAGCCTCAGCCTCAGCCTGCTTCAGCCAAAGCCTCAGTCTGCCTTCAGCCTAGGCCTCAGCCTCAGCCTGCCTCAGCCTCAGCCTGCATCAGCCTCAGCCTCAGCCTCAGCCTGCCTCAGCATCTGCCTGCCTCAGCCTCAGCCTCAGCCTGCCTCAGCCTCAGCCTCAGCCTGCTTCAGCCTCAGCCTCAGTCTGCCTTCAGCCTCGGCCTCAGCCTCAGCCTGCCTCATCCTCAGCCTGCCTCAGCCTCAGCATCAGCCTGCCTCAGCATTCAAAAAGTGGCCCGGGAATGGAGTTCTGGGAACTCGAAGAACACGAAGTGGCCTACAGTTGGCTCCGGGCATTCAAAATCATGCCCAGGAATGGAGTTCTGGGAACTTGAAGAGCACGAAGTGGCCTACAGTTGGCTCCGGGCATCCAAAATGTGGCCCCGGAATGGAGTTCTGGGAAATCGAAGAGCACGAAGTGGCCTACAGTTGGCTCCGGGCATCCAAAATGTGGCCCGGGAATGGAGTTCTGGGAAGTAGAAGAGCACGAAGTGGCCTACAGTTGGCTCCGGGCATCCAAAATGTGGCCCGGGAATGGAGTTCTGGGAAGTAGAAGAGCACGAAGTGGCGTACAGTTGGCTCCGGGCATTCAGAATGTGGCCCGGGAATGGAGTTCTGGGAAATCGAAAAGCACGAAGTGTGTGACTGTATGCGAAAAACAATCCCCCCCGGCAAACCCCAACGGCCCCCCAACGGCCCCCAACGGCTCCCCAACGGCTGCCCAGACCCCCCTGTGGAGTAATGTTGGAGTAATGTGCTGCTCTCTTTTTTCACCATTAGAAACCTATCAGTCTTCGATGTTAGGTAAAAAGAGAGGAGGCCTCGAGCGGGAGCGTTGTTGTTGTTGGGTGGCCACTTTTGGCGCCCCCAAAAACCGCTCGAGCGCGAGCCTCATTTCCAATGAAAATGTAGCCAGCGCCGAGGCGAGAGCGTCAAAGCGCCTCGGGGGTTGCAACACTTATAATTGATTTGTAGTTAACACTCAACACCACCACCACCACCACCACCACCACCACCACCACCAACAACAACAACAACAAGAACAAGAACAAGAACAAGAACAAGAACAATAACAAGAACAACAACAACAACAACAACAACAACAACAACAACAACACCAACACCAACACCAACACCAACAACAACAACAACAACAACAACAACAACAACAACAACGCAACAAACATACTCCTCACCACGGATCCCCACTTCAGCCACGCACCCAAGGACACTGAATGACCGTTCGGCCCCCTCACGCTGATGCACGCTGTCTAACAACGCATGCCGTCAAAAATCTACAGCGGCCGCTCTTGGGCAGGCGGCCTGCTGTCTCAAGTGGACAGCGGCCGCGCCGACGCCGACAGCGAACTCTGTTCAGAACGAACAAGAACTGCTGTTGCGCATCCGGAAAGGAAGATAATCGGCAAAAACATAAACTGTTGGCGCTCCGCACAGATTCCCCCGATCCGCGCTAGGACCTCCCTCACTGGCGCGCGGAGCGCGCCAGGGGCGGCGCTGGAGGCGCCGACGGGGGGGGGCCCAGCGCGGATGCAAAAAACCCGCGCGGACCGCCAATATTTTATGTTTCTGTAGTTTGTTGTTCTTCGAACGAACAGGAACTGCTTTTGGGCATCTCATACCAATCCTGTCCGTGCCCATCTTGCGGCCATCGCCACCGGCCCCAGAGAGGAGAGGTTCGGAGCGGGGCGGCTTGTGACACTGGGAGTTCCACATCGGTGCCCCTGGACCCCTCCCAGGTTTAGGTCGGGCCTGTCCCCCTACAAGGGGATTTAGGACCAAAAATAAAAATTATCCCGGCAAAGCAACCTAACAGCGATGTGTAGAAGCATATCTGAAAGCATTCCCCTTAAGATTCAGATGAAAATCCAGTTGTCGAATTCTGCTGTTCTCGCAGTCGTAGTCGCATTCGCGATGACAGTCGCAGCGGCAACGGCAGTCGCAGTCACAGCCTCAGCCTCAGCCTGCCTCCTCCTCCTCCTCCTCTTTCTCCTGCTCCTCCTCCTCCTCCTCCTCCTCCTCTTCCTCCTGCTCGTCCTCGTTCTCGTCCTCCTCGTCTTGCTCGTCCTCCTCCTCCTGGTGCTCTCTCCTCCTCCTCCTCCTCCTACTCCTCCTCCTCCTCCTCCTCCTCCTCCTCCTCCTCCTCCTGGTGGTCCTCGTTCTCCTCCTCCTGGTGCTCTCCCCCCCCCTCCTCCTACTCG